ACACCCCTACTGGGGATCAAGCCTGCAACCTGGCCATGTGCCCTTGACTGGAATTGAACCTTGGACCCTTCAGTCTGTAGGATGATGCTCTATCTACTGAGCAAAAGCAGCTAGTGTTGAAATAATTACATTAATTTGAGACAAAGCAAGCTTCAGAATAAGAAAAATTATCTGGCCGAAACCAGTTTGGCTCAGTGGTAGAGTGTCGGTCTGGGGACTGAAAGGTCCCAGGTTCGATTCTGGTCAAGAGCATGTACCTGGGTTGCGGGCACATCCCCAGTAGGGGGTATGCAGGAGGCAGCTGGTTGATGTTTCTCTCTCATCGACGTTTCTAGCTCTCTATCTCTCTCCCTTCCTCACTGTTAAAAAAAAAAAAAAATATATATATATATATATATATATATATATATATATAGATATAGATATATATATATAGAGAGAGAGAGAGAGAGAGAGAGAATGATCTGAGAGAAATAGGTGCCTTATATAATACAGTGATCAATTCTCCAAGAAGGCACAACAGTTGAAATGTGTATACCCCTAACAACAGAAGGTCAAAATATGTGAGCCAAAACTACATAGAACTGCATGAAAAAGAGGCAAACCCACTCTTATACTTGAAGGCCTCATTACTATTCTTGTATTAATAGGGTTACTTTGAATAAATTCCCAAAAGTAGATATGTTGATTCTTCTTTTTTTCTTGTTATAGCTAATATTTTAAAATGTACTTTTGTCTAGTATAAATGTTGCTAGCCCATCTTTTTTATTAAACACAGGAATGTTCAATTATAATAAACTTTTTGCTATAAATAACGTATTTGAGGTTAAAACAAAGTTAATTATATTATCTTACCTTTCCATTTTAAAATATTTTTGCTATGTAAAAAGGCAATCGTTTAACAAATAAATAAAAACACGTACCTGAGGACACAGGCTCCAATATAGCTCAGCAGGGCACTGACCGGAGGCCCATAACCCTTAGCTGCAGTAACAAGGCATGTCCGCTGCTCAAGAACTATGGCGGCAGCAGCAGCAAAGCTGGAGGAAGCTTCAATGAACTAACTCAGCTCTCGGGTCTCCTCTGCACTTCCCTGTGCTGTAGATTTTTATAGACAGAAAATTCTCATTTTTCCTTGCTGCCTAATGAAACTTGGTTTCAAGTCACCACCTGTGATACACTATTAACTTTCACACACACGCACACTCGGCCAACAATATGAAAAGCATTTATTCCATATATTGCACTGCTGCAATACTCTGAGCCTGGCCATCCACCTTCCTTTACCTACCGATGGAGAACCCCAGGGTTGCTTTCCCTGGTATAAAACTATGCACACTCCTAGTGGATCTTTTAGATACTCTTGTTTGTTTGTGGTTAGTTCTTACCTGAAAAGGAAAAGGAAAAATTGCCAAGCAAGTGATGCTATCACAGAACTGAATTTACCTTTAAGCTTCTCATAGAAAATCAAGTTTGGATTGTGTGGATCCACTCATTGGTGGATTTTTATTCTCTATTTTTTAAGTAAGTACACAGTCAGTCCTATACCCCCAGGTTTTACATTCATGGATTCAACAGAGGATAAAAAACAATGTTTTCTTTATGGTTGGGGATCTGCAGATGGTGGGCTGACTGTAGGCACTGTTCTATGCCATCCTATATAATAAAAGCACAGTATGCAAATTGACCGAAAAGCAGAATGAGTAGTCATAAGGATGTGCACCGACAATAGGGGACAGAAGCTTAACACGGGAGCTGCGCCCTGGTGGTCAGAGGGCTCCCACAGCTCATCCTGAAGGGGAGCACAGCTCATGCTGAAGGTAGACTCACGGCTGGAGAGTGGAGCCTAGATGGTGGGAGCCTCTCCTGCCTCTGCTGCAAGTGGGTGTTAAGGAGTCAGGGGTCCTGGACTGCAAGTGCCTCAGAATATGAGAGCCCCAGACTGCAAGAAAGCACAGGCAGACCAGGTTGAGGGACACCCTGCACCCTCGCAATGCCCAGTGTACGAGCATCATGCATCATACCTCTAATTTTTAATAAGGGACTTGAACATCCATGGATTTGGTATCCACTGCGTGGTCCTGGAGCCAATCCCCTGTATGTACCAAGGTATGATTATAGTTAAGCTTTCGGGGAGTCAACAGTTACACTCACATTTTCCACTATGTCAGAATGGGGGACTGGTGCCCTAAACCCTAGTAGCTCAAGGTTCAACTGTATTGCTAATGCAAACAAACAGTCCATTACATGGATTTACCAAAACTAATTTATCCATTTTTGAAAATATTTTTGTATTGATGCACTTTTCTCAATTCTTTTGTATTCTGAACAATAACAGAACCATCTTTTTAAAAAAAATATATATATTTTGATTTTTTACAGAGAGGAATAGAGAAGGACAGAGTTAGAAACATCGATGAGAGAAACATCGACCAGCTGCCTCCTGCACACCCCCTACTGGGGATGTGCCTGCAACCAATGTACATGCCTTTGACTGGAATTGAATCCGGGACCCTTTAGCCCAGGCCAAAGCTCCATCCACCGAGCTACACCGGTTTCGGCAATCATTATCTTTTAATGTACATTTTGCAATTTGTCTGGTTATTTCTTGAGAATAGCTGGATTTGGATTGATGGGTAAAATGCAGACATATGTACCTAAGGTTTTAAAACAATTGAAAAGCTGAACTTTCAACCAATGAGGTTTTATTAGTTTATGTGCCAAGAATAAGCTGTGTGTCATCTGGCTCACACCCAGGCCAATTCCGGGAATTAGCACACCTCCCCATCTTTGCTGAATCAGGAGGTGAGCCAAGTGAAAATGGTCACATTTGTGTCTTGTTAGAAATTCTGGCGTTACCGGTAAAGGTGGACTTTCCTTTTGTATGTCCAGGTGGACTCGTGATGCTGTTTTCTGGTCTCTGTGCTGCAAGGGGGCTCTTCTATGAGAAGATGGGGCCTTACCATTGCCATCCTCTCCTATTTCCCCATACCTCACAGAGGCCCAGGTCAGGGAGAGGGAGGGCTCTCATGCTTATGCCATGTGGGGCCAGTGCAATGAAAAATGGCCACAGGAGAAGAAAAGAGGAACTTCCTCTAATCATACACAGTGAAGAATGGGAAGTCGTTCTAGAGGCAGAAAACTGCTAACTACAAGAGGAGGCTGGAAGGTATCCTATGAGAAATGGACAAGGACACAATTCACACAGCAGACAGAGGGACAGGTACAGAGACACAGACAGTGCAGGGCGGTGGCTGAAAATGAGACAGCAGAAGCGAGGAAGAAGCTCCCAGAAGCTCCAAGCAACACAGTCTGGCTGTGTCACACATTAGCCCTGTGATTTGGGAGTTTGGCTCACTCTGCTAAGCCTTAGCTTCCTGTTCTATAAAATGGGATAAAAGAACTAGTACATCATGGCAATATTGCGAGAACTGAGAACTGCGTCAGCCACTGTCTTACTATATTTAAATTTTCAACAAACTTTATTTCTTAGAAACTCTATCACGGTGAAAGGAGCTTCTATTCTTTGAAAGGTCATCTAGTGAGTGCAAATTTCAACTCAGGGCTCTTATCACATTGCAGTGCTGCCTCTAAACTGACTGTGAAGATCAGTCTCAAGCTGGTTCATTTTTCCTTTCCCTTTAGTAGCTCATGTTGATAACCTCTGCAGCCCACTGTGATGTCCCCAAGAATGACCTATTTATAAGGAGTCCTCGAGCCCCTCGCAAATACTGCCAAGTCCTCCTCTCCGACAAACGAGCCAATAATACACAGTTATTGTAGTTTCTCTTCAATAAACAGTGCTGGGAAAGCTAGGAACTCACATCCAAAGGAATGAAATAAGACCCTTATATTGAATCAATTATTTATTTGTGTTTTTTTTCCAACATGAAAAATACTAATCCTACAAAGCAAAAACAATGCACAGAGAAATTCTAACCTTCATTTTTGTTGTTTAACTGCCCGTTTCTTAAAGAAAATTGCCAAAATTCATAGATTTGGCAAAACATATGCTCAGAAATTTAACCCAATATAACCCAGATAGCAAATGCACATCTGAAATAAGTCTCACCATAAACCCTTAGAAGAAAATGCAACTGAACAATGACATAGCATGACAAAGTTACAAAAAAAGTTTAAATAAAGGACGACTAACCAAAGCAAATCTTTTCTATTAATAGAATGTGGAGGAATTAAATCTGTCCTAGATTGCTGGAAGGATGCAAAAATGTGCAATTGGCTTGAATCACAATTTTCTAATTTCTCTAAGTTAAACATTCACCTGTCTTCTGATTGCACATTGCATTATGAGTTATTAATGAAGACCAATTAAACCTATCTCCATTATAAGAATTATGCACAATCGCTATTAGGCCAGTGATTCTGTAGCAATTATGCTTTCCCTTAAATCCTACTTTCCTACATCCAAGTGACCATCACACATGGAGTTGCAAACATTAGGATACATGGTCCTTTGCATGGTCTTTGAAAGTGATTGCCTCCAAAAGTATGGGCACACCCTGTGAACAGTCTGATGACAATGAAAGTGACTGTTTCTGGCAAAATATTTCCCATATTCACTGCAATCCTGAGGCCTTTCTCATGTGAACTATTTGATGACGATCCAAGTATTTGTTCATGGCAAACAACTGCCCACACTGACTGCATTCATAAGGCTTTTCTATAATGTGAAGTCTCTGATAGTGACAGAGGACATGCTAGTGATGAAAGATTTACCACACTGACTGCACTCATCAGGCCTTTCTCCAGTGTTAAGTGTCTGATGTCGACGAAGGCCATTACCAGTGGTAAAAGATTTCCCACACTGACTGGATTCATGTTTTTCTCCAGTGTGAAGTCTCTGATGTTGACAAAGGCCATCATAAATGGTAAAAGATTTCCCACACTGACTGCATTCATGTTTTTCTCCATTGTGACATTTCTGATGATCACTCAAATGACAGCTCCTTGTAAAAGATTCCCCACATTAACTACACTTATTACGCCCTTTCTCCAGTGTGAAGTCTCTGATGACGAAGGAGGTATCCGCTAGTGGTAAAAGATTTCCCACAATGAGTACACTCATAAGGCCTTTTTCCAGTGTGAACACTCTGATGAAAAAGGAAGCTTTTGCTAGTGGTAAAAGATTCCCCACACTGACTGCATTCATGTATTTTTCTAGTGTGAAGTCTCTGATGTCGACCAAGGCCATCACCAGTGGTAAAAGATTTCCCACACTGGCTGCATTCATGTTTTTCTCCACTGTGACATTTCTGATGATCATTCAAATGAGAGCTCCTGGTAAAAGATTTCCCACATTCACTGCACTTGTAAGGCCTTTCTCCAGTGTGAAGTCTCTGATGACGAAGGAGGTTTCCGCAAGTGGTAAAAGATTTCCCACACTGAGTGCACTTGTAAGGCCTTTCTCCAGTGTGAACCCTCTCATGACAAAGGAGGCTTCTGATAGTGGTAAAAGATTTCCCACACTGAGTGCACTCATAAGGCCTTTCTCCAGCGTGAACCCTCTGATGACAAAGGAGGTTTCCGTTAGAGGTAAAAGATTTTCCACACTGAGTGCACGCATAAGGTCTTTCTCCAGTGTGAAGTCTCTGATGACGACGGAGGTTTCTGCTATCAGTAAAAGATTTCCCACACTGAGTGCACTCGTAAGGCCTTTCCCCAGTGTGAACCCTCTGATGACAAAGGAGGTTTCCTTTAGTGGTAAAAGATTTCCCACACTGAGTGCAAGCATAAGGCCTTTCTCCAGTATGAAATCTCTGATGACAACGGAGATATCTGCTATCAGTAAAAGATTTCCCACACTGAGTGCACTCACAAGGCCTTTCTCCTGTGTGAAGTCTCCGATGACGAAGGAGGTTTCTGCGAGTGGTAAAAGATTTCCCACACTGACTGCATTCATGTTTTTCTCCAGTGTGACATTTTTGATGTTCATTCAAATGACAGCTCCTGATAAAAGATTCCCCACATTCACTATACTTGCAAGGTCTTTCTCCAGTGTGAAGTCTCTGATGACGACGGAGGTTTCCCCTATCGGTAAAAGATTTCCCACACTGACTGCATTCATGTTTTTCTCCGCTGTGACATTTCTGATGACGACGCAAATTACAGTTCCTGGTAAAAGATTTTCCACACTGACTGCACTCATAAGGCCTTTCTCCAGTGTGAAGTCTCTGATGGCCATAAAGTCTAGAGATTGTGACAAAATATTTCCCACATTCAACACACTCATATGGCTTTTCTCCAGTGTGAGCTCTCTGGTGTTCAACGAGGGTTGAAGATTGACTAAAGGATTTCCCACACTCATCACATTTATATGGCTTTTCTCCAGTGTGAACTCTCTGGTGTTGCACAAGGGCTCCCCTTTGGCTAAAGAATTTCCCACATTCAGCACACTCATGACACTTTTCTATAGAATGAACTTGCCGGTGTTGAATGAGTGTGGACTGTTTTTTATAGCACATCCCACACTCACTGCACTCGTATGGCCTTTCTCCTGTGTGAAATTTCTGATGATAATGGAGGTCAGAGATTTTTGTAAAAGATTTCTCACATACACGGCACACAAGACACTGTATTCCATTATGGACACTATGGTCCTGAGCAAGAGACTGGTTGCAGCCAATGGCTTTCTTGCTCAAATAAAACTGCTTTGCACATGCCCCACACCTCAACAGTTTCAGGCTATGTGGTGTTCCCTGCTGCTCAAACAAGTAAAAGATGTCTTTCAGGACTCGCCCACAACTCTCACAGGGATGGCTCTTCTGGGAGGACAAAGCTACATTGGGGATTTTTGCCTGTGACACTCTCACAGAAATAAGCTCTTCAGTAGGTACCTCCACATCCTCTGCTCCACAGCAGCAACCTAGAGAGGATATGAGTTCAAAGTTCTCCAGCATCACTTCCAGGAACAGGTGTCTCTGAGCCTCATCAAGGAGGCACCATTCCTCCTTAGAGAAGCGCACAGCAATATCCTCAAAGGTCACACCAACCTCAGATGGGGGCCTCTGTGGGTTGAACTGGGTAAGGGTGACAGGAGAGGTGGCAGCCAGGGACACAATGGTTCCTGTCCCAGGCCCAGCACTGGTCACCTGAGAGGCTGGTTGGTGGGGATCAGGACTCTTGTGCCTTCTCATTCTGGCATCTGTACCAAGACTCAGTGCTTAGGATGCTCTGACCCACTTTGGCGATCCTGAGAAAAGAGGAAATGACCATCAGAAGGAGAGCACTGGAAGTCAACTATTGACTTTATTTATTCCTAGGCATATGCCCTTGAAAGGAATCAAATCTGGAGCCTGCAGTCCACAGGCCAATGATCTTTCCCTGAGCAAAACTAGCTAGGGTCAATTGTTGACTTTAAAAATGACAAACTGCACTGCAGAGCTTTCTATAAGAACCTGATGTAATCTGTTTGAGTAAGCATAGCTTAAAATGAATCACTTTACCCATGTCCTAAAGTACACTTGTTGCCTTAGTTTTGAAGTAACTTGGATGGAATAAACAAACTCGTGTTTGGCTACAAAATATAGAGAATTGCTACAGATTTCAGATAAAAAGTTGTCTTGAAATGATGGACATTCTTACAGAACTAATTACAGGGAGACATAAAATAACTTTGAGAGAAACATTTTCTTCTAGGATAAATTTTTTTTAAATGGATGAAAAAGCAGTTAACAAAGCAGATATTTATAACATTAACAAAAACACTGAGAAGCCAAGATGGGGGCATAGGTAAACACATGATATGCTGCCTCACACAACAATTTTAAAACTACAACTAAAAGACAAAACAAATATCATCCAGAACCACAGGAAGGCTTGCTCAGTGGAAATTCTACAACCAGAATTAAAGATAAAGGCACACTGACACTGAGAGGAATTGCAGAAGTAAAGGCAGAAGTAGAGAGGTGCACATGGAGAGTCCTGGCAAATGAGTACGCGGCTGTCTTTATCAGATGGGAGGAGAGAAAAGCTCCTGAATGCTCTGAACTCCAGTTGTGGGTGAGACTGGGAACCCAGACTCATACGGGGAGAAAGTGGACTGTCCGACACCGGGGGGAACACAAGTCTGCTTTCTCTCAGAGGTGCGTGCAGTGATTACTGCAGGACACGGAGACTCAGGGGCCTCTGAGGGCAGGGCTAATGGGAAACAATTGCTGTTTCCTCTTTTCTGAGACTCTGTCCCATGCAAGTGGCCCACAGAGGTTTTGCATATGCATAGCCTGGTGCTTTAAAATCTAAACTTACTTACCCTGTTTCCCCAAAAATAAGACAGTGTCTCTTAATTTTTGCTCCCATAGATACGCTAGGTCTTATTTTCGGGGGATATCTTATTTTTTCCATGAAGAAGAATACGGTACACATTTATTGTTAAATGAAAATAAAGGAAATTTATTACCTGTATACAGTACGGTAGTTTAGTAGTTGTCAACACAAACCAGAAAAACTGTGAATCTATAGTATCAAGAATTTACTCATTTATTAAATAACAATCATGTCATCATCTTCTGGAACAATCCAATTCCTGAATTTTCTAGTGAATTTCTTGTGACTCCATTTCTTTCAGAATCAGTGGACCAAATCTTTCATGTTTAGCCTAGGCGGGCCTTATTTTTGAGGGGATGCCTTATATTTCACTCAGAAGGAAACCTGTAAGCAGGTATTATTTTTGGAGGATGTCTTATTTTCGGCGAAAACGGTAACAAACTGCTCAGTCAGTGAGACCCACAACATGCAAAAGGTCCAAGACCCCGTGGTAGATTGCATTTGCTTCATAGTTGGGCCTCATCTGGAAGTCTTCAAAACCCAAACAAAGAACAGGAATCTGATAATCTCTCTATAGCTCCTGCTGGGTGGCCACAGGCAGAGGCTAACTTCGCATTCCTTGGAGATCCAAGAGAAATGTAGCCAGGGGTCAGAGTAGGACCATCCAGATTACAACTGCTCAAATCTACAAAGGACACACTTAGTGAGCATTAAGCCACAATGAAGCAAGTCTTGCCTTATAAGTGTGTCTCCAGCACAGAAGTTCTCCCATCATAGACACTGCTTACACTCGCTTCCCATTTTCCTTGAGGTCAATTCCTCCCAGTGATAACAACAATCAAGGCTTAACTACAAAAAGACTGTGCACACAGCCCACAAAGGGGTGCACCAAGAGTATCCACCTTAGGTAACTGGGGAGGCTGAGCCACTGGGCCCTATAGGACACCTAGCACACCAAACCACTCTATCAACACAGAGAAGCAGCCAAAATGCAAAAGACAAAGAAACAGGTCACAAATGAAAGAAATGGAGGAAAGCAAACACCTGAATATAGACTTCAAAACCATGGTTATAAGGTTTTTCAAGAATTTTCTAGAAAAGACTGATAAATTTAGTGAGACCCTCGAGGGTAGAAAAAGGACCAACTAAGAATTAAGCATACACTGACTTAAATTAAAAATAATATATAGAGAGATCCAACAGCAGACTAGAAGATAGCAAGAATCAAATAAAACTTTGAAATACAAAATAGCAAAATATACCCAACTGGAAAAGCAAAAAAAAAAAAAAAAAAAAAAAAAGAATCCACAAATATAAAGATAGCGTAAGGAGCTTCTGGACAACTTCAAGCATATCAATATTCAAATTATGGGCATACTAGAAGAAGGGAGAGAGCAAGATATTGAGAACCTATTTGAAGAAATAATGACACAAAACTTCCCCCAACTGGTGAAAGAATAGATTTACAAGCCCAGGAAGTGCAGAGAATGCCCAAACAAAAGGAATCCAAAGACGACCACACAAAGATACATCAGAGTTAAAATGCCAAGAGCAAAAGACAAAGAGAGAATCTTAAAAGCAGCAAGAGAAAAACAGTTAGTTACCTCAAGGGAGCACCCATACCATTGTCAACTGATTTCTCAACAGACACTATGCAGGTCAGAAGGAAGTGGTAAGAAATATTCAAAGCAATGAACAGCAAGAACCTACAACCAAGATTATTCTACCAGGCAAAGCTATCATTCAGAATTGAAGGTCAGATAAATACCTTCACAGATAAGAAAAAGTAAGAGTTCAACACCTCCAAGCCAGAATTATATAAAATGCTAAAAGGTGTTCTGAAAGAAGAGGAAGAAAAAGGTGAAGATAAAAATTATGAAAAAGAAATACATATGTATCAACAAGTGAATTTAAAAATCAAGTGAATAAAAAATCTGATGAACAGAATAAACTGGTGAATATAATAGAATCAGGGGAATAGAAATGGAGTGGGCTGCAGTAATTTCAACTGCATACTCACTCTGTGACACCTTTTTAAAATTTTAGTACCAGTGACCTGGTGCACAAAATTTATGCACATTCTAAGGGAATTAACAAGAGCAAATATTTTAATATTGCTATTTGCCCTTTCACTATAAGTGTCAGAGTTGAAAGAAAATTAGTAAACTATATATTAAAATCTTCCACTTGTCAGAGTCTGGGGTGTGCCGGGGGACTCAGAGTAAAGGCCCCACCAATCTCCTAGCTCTTGGTAATCATGTGAGACTCAGACCCGTCCGACCCCACCCCATAGGTGAGGGGCGCAGCCTCAGATCTCCTGGTCTGGTGTGGGGGGCAAAGCTTCATGGCTGCAGTGAAGACCCGCTAGGTTGGGGGTGCATCCTCAGGTCCCCCCTGACCAGTGCTGGGTATGTGCTTTGAGGGCTCTAGTCAAGGCTTGCTGTGTGGGGGACCCAGCCTCAGGTCCCTCTGATGCATAGATAAGTCTCATTAAGACAACTCAGCCTTTGCTTGGGTGCAGCAATCTTGTTTTACAAGAAGCCCTGCCTCTGCTGTGCATACAGCCATGTTGTTAGAATCCCTCCCCCCACTGCTGTGGTCGCCTCCAAATTTGCGGTGGTCAATTTTCATATTCTCTCTTTATTAAATAGGATATTTGTATTGATTTCAGAGAGGAAGGGAGAGGGAGTGAGAGGAAGATTCTCATGATGAGAATCACTGATGGGCTGCCTTTTGCATGCCCCACAGTGGGGATTGAGCCTGCAACCAGGCATGTGCCCTGAGAATCAAACTGAGATATTCTGGTTCATAGGTCAATGCTCAACCTGAGCACCCTGGCTGGGCGGCACAACTGTGTAGCCTTTCAACTGTTGCTTTCAACCTAGGGGCTGGGAATCTAGCCCTGGGCTCTTACCGCTTGGGAACTGACAAACACCTCAAGTGGAAACTGCACATTGAATTTTCAGCACATTTCTCCAAGGTTTCCGCTTCCATTTCAAATCTCAGACTCCATCATGGTATCTCTGAACTCCAACTTCCTTCTTCCCAGCCAACTGAAATGCCACCAGCCCTGGCCACCTCTTTCAGCTTGGTCCCTGTTCCTTGCTCTCTGAGTTAGTAAATGTTCTGGAGGGAAGCACAGGTAAAGGTGGGCCTTTCTAGGTGCTCCCGCATTCCCTGCAGCAATTTCCTTCAAGTTCTGTCTGACTTGATTTTTCTCTAATACCTTCAGTTGCTCTCAGTATTTTATTCAGCTTTTCTATGATATAAGCAACACTGTCACCCTCCGACGTGGAGGTTGAATGCACTTCATGCTCATCGACAAATGTCCTAAAGCTCCAAGGTACTGACTGGGTTAGTTTTCATTCACTCCAGATTCCTGACTGTTCTCTTACCTCTTCCTTACATGTTGGGGAGCACAAGAGACTTGGTTTGTAAAGAGGGCATTCTGATAACAGGGAAGTGAATGGAAGGCTGCCTGTCCTGTTTATTGTAATTTCGACTTGGGAGTGTCGAAGGTGGCAACCCTAAATATTTCTTGACCTTTCCAAGCAAGTCTGTGCTTATGCAGACCCCCGGGTGTTTACTCAAATCCTCTGCTTAATCCCTGGATGACCTTGTCTAGACTACAGTGTAAACACTTGTGTCTCCCCCCCACATACACACACACCCCAGGATCTAAACTAATGTAACATATAAAAGCCTAGAGTTTGGTTTAATTACTTACCTTTTGAAATTCCAAGGGACTAATTCATTATTTCTGAAGCAAGCCAAGGGAGGATGGTAGGCTTATGTCTCCTCTATAACTTCTGCTCCCACTGCCAAATCTTAGACTTTTCGGGCTTCAGTGTAAGTGGACAGGACACACCTA